TCGGGTTGTTTTCTTTTTGCGTCCGTTCTTTTTTTTTGTTATACGGGGGTCGAGGGTGGTGTGTCAACTCTACTTTTCGGGCGGCGCACGTATTGTGTAGCGCGACGCCTCTCTTGTAATTGATTCAATAAGTTTAAAACACGAACTATGGGTACGACCACCCTCCTCCCTTACCATGGACCAACTACATAAATACACAAGCACGATAAGCAACGAAACAAATACACCAGAAAAAGAAATTTTTAGTTAAACTAAATTACTTATATTTTGGCAATTAAATTATTTAAAAAAATTCTTTTCTTAATCTTGTGTTGGATTTAATTTAGAACACTTGTTAAATATTAATCTTTTTTCAAGAAAATTAAATCTTTGTCTAATTTTATACAAAAACTAATTATTTTAGTTTCAATTTGAAATAAATTCTCTTTAATTCCCATAAACTATTTTTATTTAATTTTAACATTTATTATTAAACACCCGCCATCTAGTTTTTAAAAGTGAAACCATCGTTTCAAAAATGCCATCGACGAAATCTTCTATTTTACATTAAAGAGTCGAAACATCAATAAAAGATGATTTGATTAAATTGATTAAAGAATGAAATTGAAGATGAACATGGATAAATACAAAAACTTTACAGCCTTAAACGTAATTATAATAATGATTAAATTTCCGAATAGATGGCGCATCTAGTATCACAGAGTTGGAAATTTTAGTTCAATGTTCAATGTTACGACGAATATATCGGGAAGTTAGTTCTATAAGTACGAAGGCTTTCACGGCCGGTGTGAATTAAACTAAAATTAGAACTAAAACTAGAACTAACACTAGAAACTTTCGGGTTTTGCCGTGCGTCTTTTAATAAAAGGTTTGACGTTTCGGATGCCATGTTGCAACCTTCTTCAGAAACTGGTTCGAAGTGACATCAACTCCCCAACATACCAGCTGGCCAAACATCTTGCAAAGATTCTGTCTCCCTTTACAGGTAACACGGAATCGTATGTCAGGGATTCTACACATTTTGTGGAATCGGTAAAAGGTGTAAAGCTGGAGGCTGGGGATATGTTGGTAAGTTTCGATGTGGAATCCCTTTTTACTAGGGTACCAGTTAAGGATGCTGTAGAGGGTCTTCGCCGAAAACTCATTCCGGAGGGTTTACCAGAATACGTGCCAGATCTGGTGGAGTATTGCTTATCGTCGACGTATTTCAGCTGGAAAGGAGAATTTTACGAGCAGTTCGAAGGGGCAGCCATGGGATCTCCACTATCGCCAGTTATAGCTAATTTCTACATGGAATTATTCGAAGAGGACGCTTTGAAGAAGAGCCAGTGGAAACCAAAACTATGGCTACGATATGTGGATGACACGTTTGTGATATGGCAACATGGTCAAAAACGGCTCCAAGAGTTCTTGGATCACTTGAACTCTCAACATCCTATGATTAAGTTCACCATGGAAACAGAAACTGCCAAAAAACTACCTTTCCTAGATGTGTTGGTCACCAGGACGACAAATGGAGATATAGAACTTGGTGTATACCGAAAGAAGACCCATACCAACAGGTATTTACAGGCATGTTCACATCATCATCCCCAACAGAAGAGGTCCGTGATCCGTACATTATTTCAGCGAGCAGCGAGACTATGTGAAGGAGAGAACTTGAAGAAGGAGCAACACTTTCTACGAGGCGTGCTGCAGAAGAATGGATACACTTCGAGGGACATCAACCAGGCCATCAAGCAGCGAAAGCAGAAAGAGGACACGGTAAGTACAAAACCACTTGGATTTATCTGTCTTCCCTATGTTTCAGGTGTAACGGAACGAATTGCTAGGCACCTCAAGAAGAACGACATCGTAGTGCGGTACGGCACGGTCAGCAAAATTCGGAACACACTCCCGATAGCCAAGGACAAACTAACTCCATTAAAAGGAGCGGGAGTCTATCGACTATCGTGTAGTTGTGGGAAGGTTTATGTTGGCCAAACTGGACGCAACGTCGAGTGCCGCATCAAGGAGCATGAGAGGGATGTAAGGCTGAAGAAGATCCAGCAGTCGGCGGTTGCGGAACATTGCCATGCAGAGGGGCACCGAATAGACTTCGAACAAACAAAGGTGCTGGCTAGGGACAACAGATACTACCAAAGACTGACAAGAGAAGCCATAGAGATTCACCGACATAAAAATAACGTCAACAGAGAGGATGGCTGGGAGCTTAGCAGAACATGGAAGATGGTGGTGAACACGAAGACCTCTTCCCGCCTCACACCGGACGCGACGCAATTAGTTATTAATTAGTTTGTAATTAGCGTTAACTGATTATTAATTAGTTTTTCCGACTTATATATAGTTACCGATTTTTGATCTCGTCACTTCGAACCAGTTTCTGAAGAAGGTTGCAACATGGCATCCGAAACGTCAAACCTTTTATTAAAAGACGCACGGCAAAGCCCGAAAATTTCTAGTGATTTCTAGTTCTAGTGATAGTGCTAGTGCAAAACTAGAACTAACACTAGAGCGAGAACTAGAAACATTCGGATTTAGCCGCACGTCTTTCAAGACGGCTAAACCCGAATGATTCTAGTTCTAGGTGTTGTGTTAGTTCTAGTGATAGTGCTAGTATAAAACTAAAACTAACACTAGACCTAGAACTAGAAACATTCGGGTATTGCCGCACGTCTCTCAAGACGAAGATGATTCTACTTCTAGGTCTTGTGTTAGTTTTAGTGATAGGGCTAGTGTAAAACTAAAACTAAGACTAGACCGAGAACTAGAAACATTCGGATTTAAACGCACGCCTTTCAAGACGGCTAAACCCGAATCATTCTAGTTCTAGGTCGTGTGTTAGTTCTAGCGATAATGCTAGTGTAAAACTAGAACTAACACTAGACCTAGAACTAGAAATATTCTAAACCCGATACTTTCTGGTTCTAGGTCTAGTGTTAGTTCTAGTTTTAGTTCAATAAAAATATGTAACATAATGATATTTTATGCTAACTAACGCTACTAATGCTAACTACCAGCCGTCTTAAGAGAGGTACGGCTATGTAGAACTAACATTAAACCTAGAACTAGAAAAATTCGGGTTTAGCCGTGCGTCTCATAAGACGGCTAAAGCCGAATGATTCTAGTTGTTGGTCTAGTGTTAGTTCTACTTTCAGTTCAATAAAAATATACAACAATCTAGCGCTGCTTAACAATTAAAACTAGAACTAACACTAGAACTAGAAAGTTTTGACTTCAGTTCCCCGTATTGATCTGTTATATCGAGGTTTTACTGTAATGTTAAATTATTTTGACATGTTGCAGTGAAATTCAGTGTATATGTGGTTGTAGATGATATCGCTGAAAATTAGTTACATTTCATAATCATTATGTTATTTATCCATAGCAGCGCCATCTAGTCATCAAAGTTTTACACAAAGTATTTGATACATGTAGAAGTCTGTATATTTGTATACAAAACATATGAATTTCATTTAAGATGTCGCTTCAAGTCAAATTGAGATATCAAAAGTAATAAAAATTATCCGTTTAGATTGTTTTAGACCTATATAGTTTAAATTAAAAAGTGTAATATTAACTATTAACTTTTTTATTAATTTGAAAAAAACTGAAATTGAATTGGAAAAAGAAAAAATCTTGTCACAACAAATTTGGTGTAAGTAAAAATTAAAGAGATTTCCGGGGTCTGGAAAATCCTGCTCGAGGGCAACGGGACTTACGGGACTAATTCGCGATGGGAAGTGGCGCCGCGACGTCAAGCAATTCGATTTGCGACCTTATTTCCTGTACCGGAAACGAGGCGCCGGAGGCGAATAGAGAAAGAAAACCGCGCCGCCTCACTTCTTCCGTCAAAGTGGCCGCTTCCCTTTTTTTTATTTTAAACTGACGCTTGATTTCGTATGCACTTCGCACCCAACACTAAAAGAACCCCGAACGACTAAAATTCGGAAGCCATTTAGCCCCATTTTACAGAAACGACCCAAAAAAGATTAAATTGCAGGTTAAGTTAATTTCAATGTCAAATCAAATTCATTTAACGTATGGCGGACGTTTTTTTAGGTCCCCATAGCAACATCAAGTTAGTAAACTGTTAGTAAACAATAAAAACAGCAACATTTTGTATAAATAAGTATTTATATTGTAATCTAATTTTCTGATTTTAGATCGGAGGAGAATATATGGAATTGCAAACATAAAAACAGGTGTCTCAATTTTACGTCGTAGGTAAACCTAATTTGTTCGTAGCACTATATACGAGGAATAAGCGGAAAAGGTTCAATTTGATGCTCACAAGTCTACCTTTCTATATTTGAACATACATCGCCCTCTAACTGAATATTGGCTATGATCTGATTCTCTCCCCATCTCTTCTTTTACGTAGATGTAAAAGGGATCGATCGAAAAGGGGAACAGTTTCGAAACCTTTCAGGAAGTCCTATTCAAATAATAATTAAGATATTTTGAATCCATTTTTAATTTCTTTTTAATAAATAATTTTTTCAATAAGTAAATTGTTATTCTTAAGAGCCCCAACAAAAGGTACAGTATTTCTGGGGGTGGGTCTCAGGTGACCCTGCAAAATGTAACAGAGATTTATGTCACGCGGTGCGGATATATCCGGTTCTCGTTTTCCTCGTTTTATTCCTTCATCTTTGCACATCTTTCACGTCCTTTTCCCGTTATTCCCCAAAAACTTTTTGCGTGATTTACAAGTACCCGTAAAATAAGACGATAAAAGACACAATATCGTTAAACCAAAAATGTTCTTGAGAAATATTTGATGGAAAACGAAAAGAAAAATTATTTGGTAAACCTCTAATTTTCAACATAAAAAAAAAAATAAATCGCTAAGCTTTACAGATTATGCAGGTTGACTAAAGTTTCTTATCTTATCGTGAGGTATTTAAGTTGACTTTATTAAGAAATCAATCTGAGCGACCCTTTAAATACTCGTGTTTGATCATTTTAGCACTTCACACTCGTGAAGTTGGTCATAAATTAAATAAGAATTTTTTAATAAGCTCAAAAAAGTGGTTTTGTAAAGTTATGGAATCGGTTAATTCTGGCGCTGGAGTTAGTGGTGAAGCGGAAAAGAGAAATGGAGAATCAAGCGATGAAGATGCACATCGAGATGATTTGAACAATATAAGAAACGTAAGAATTTTTCAAAAATGTTTTGTTTTAAAGAAAATCTACGCTTTTTTATTATTTTAAACAACAATTGTAAGAAAATCTGTTTTAATTTTAAAGAGATTAAAGGTTTTGATCCTGCTTATTAACAAACCTTTTGTTCTCCTTAATTTCGGGGATTGAGTGAATTTTTGTAACGCAATCTCGGTATAGTAATAAAAATATTTTATTTATTTATTTATAAGAAAAATAATAACCGGAAAATTGTATAAATAAATTTTTAGCCTCCGATGCCCCAAAAAAACCTTTCACATTCCGTTTCTTACGATCCAAATGGAGTACTTAGAAGACCTGCAAGCCAAAATAATTTAGATCCAATGAAACACCGTCATCTTTCAACTATAAGTCAACCAAGCTTACATCATAGTGCTAGCGGACCTATTTTGAAACGTATGAACAGTAGCAATTCAATAATTAGCCAAGGGATTTCAGCTAAACCCAGAGTAAGTATCAAAAACGAAATTTAAATAATTAATAATTTGTCATAAAAATGTAACTCTATTTTTATTAATTACATTGATCCATTATTTTTAAGCACCTTGTCACATTATGCGATTAATATGAATCCTTGGGTAAATAAAAAGGATATATTAAACAAATTTTCTTATCATATCAAAACGATTAGTAACAATAACAAATGTTCCAATTATTATTAACATTGTATGAATGGAGTAGCCAAAGGTTAAAGATTTATTGTGGAAAGCCCTGTTTAATTTTGTCTATTTTTGTGTTTACCGAACGCGTTCAATGCAAAATGGAGAGAAACGCCTTTCGAATCCATTGCTGTAATCAGCCGCTCGCAAACGAAGGACCGTCGACATCCGACCGGAAGCCAAACGGTTCAGGGTGTTCAGAAAATAGTCGAAGCGTCACCATTCAAGTTTCTACTTCCGGAAATAACTTTTATTTAATCGACCTATATCAACAAATATATTTTATTTACCTATCTCAAATGCAAATAATTACACAAATAGTTCTGCAAACTCCCATTCGATTTTGGTTGCATATTGTTAATGATTCTTGTAAATATTCCGGATATTTTATTCCATACTTAATCGAAACATATCTACTTTATATTGCAATAAAAATAATAATGTTTTTAGGTTCAACAAGGTAAAAATGGAGTCGTTTTACAATTAGTAATTCCAAATACAAACATGTATTCTCAAGATCCCGAACCAATAGAAGGAACCATGTTAAGAAAAAGACCGATCAGCACAATTGGAAACGGAACTCCTCAAGCTAGTTTCTTCTGTGACACTCCACCATACGGCGACTACGTTAACGGGAGCTTAAAAGGTGCTGAAACTGTTATTTCAGAAGCCCAATCAATTTTACCAACTAGTCACGAAGAAAAACAAAGAATAACAAGGTAATTCAAAAAAAAAAATATTAATTTTAAATTATTCATTTGAACACGAAGTTTTCATTTATCGGTGACTCTTCGCAATTTGTTTGAACGTTCGTACTGCATACGCTTTTAGTTTATAAATTAGCTCCGATAGCCCGACGCGAAGCACACACGCGGATGCCCCATTCATTCGCGCACCCCGTTTCAGGGCGATAATTATACGGTAAGAGGAAACGACGATTAGGTACCGTAATTATCTATTGTTGCCGAAACGGTATGCGCCAGTAATTCGATACTATATAATACAGCAATGAGAGAACCGCGTTTTAACCGAATAATATATTTCTTGTTCAAGTCAAAAAATAATATTACCTCAACTCGTTATTTAGTTTCATATTCCATTTAAATTCTCATTTAATTTATATTAGGGAAACCGGAAAGTAATTTCGATTCCGTGCTTGTCGATATTCGATTGTCATCTATCAGTGAAACATAATTAAATATAATAATAAAATATACAAGAACCTGGGACTGAATAACAACTAAAACGAAGAACTAACACTAGATCTAGATCTACTATCCGTGCAAAAAGTCACTTTAGAGATCGATATCTTCGTAACCGCTCCATGGAAAAAATTGCTGTAAAAAAATTGTAATCAGTGAACATTTCTGCGTATCACATGTTAATTTGGAAATTTTCGGGTCCGCGGTTTTACTTTTATCGCGAGTTAAGTGAAAAAAGTACCCGATTTTTGAGAGTGCCAGCAACTTTGTCTACTTTGCCATTTTTTCTCTCCAAAACTATTTGACGAAAAAGTTTCAAATTTGAACTGGTGGTAAACCGATGTGTTCTTAATGTGGGGCATATTTTATTTTTTCGATATTCCATATAGTTTCGCGGAAAATCGCGGTTTAGTAGGATGCTGTTATTTCGAAAACGACCTGGCGAATTTCAACGCGGTTTTTACCAAAATATGTCAAATAACGCGGATTTTCGGATTCCGTTATCAGTTTTTCAAAAATAAGGCTCCCTAATTTTTTAAGAGCGATTTAATGGAATTACAAATTAAAGAGAAACAGAAATCAGCTATGAATCGCTCTTAAAAAAATAGAGAGCCTTAATATTGAAAAACTGATAACGGAATCCGACAACCAACATTATTTGACATATTTTGGTCAAATCCGCGAAGAAATCCACCCAACCGTTTTCGACATAACGGCGTCTTACTAAACCGCGATTTTCCGCGAAGCTGTATGAAATATCGAAAAAATAAAACATGCCACTCATTGAGAACACATCAGACTACCATCTGTTCAAAATTAAAATTTTTTCGTACGATAGTTTTCGAGAAAAATAATCGCAAAGTTGATAAAGTTGCCAATTCCGTAAAAAATCGGGTACATTTTTCATTTAACTCGCGGTAACAAGAAAACTGTGGATCCGAAAATTTTCAGATTAACATAAGTTACGTAGAAATGTTCAGTGATTACAACAAATTTTGTTGCAATTTTTTTTATGGAGCGGTTGCGAAGATATCGATCTCTAAAGTGAGGGGCCTTGACTTTTTGCACAGATAGTAGAAACATGCCGATTTAGCCGCACGTCTCTCAAGACAGCTAAACCCGAATGATTCTAGTTCTAGGTGCAACATAGTGATATCTTATGCTAACTAGCACTGTCACTAGAACTAATGTTAGACCTAGAATTAGATACGTTTGGATTTAGCCGCACGTTTCTCAAAACAGCTTACCCGAATGATTGTCTAGTTCTCTAGTTCTAGTTCTAGGTCTATTAGTGTTAGTTGTATAAATATCGTTTTTAAACGATATTACTTTACGGTCTCCCTAATATTATTACAAATTTTCAGAGAAATCCTCACGATACAATACAGCTTAATATATGCGATCACGTTGGTCGTATTAGGCACAACAACGTTTATAGTAGACATCATATTTGATATTGAACCAATGACGGTGGTAAATTTTTATTTATACCTATTTTTATTTGTTATTTAAACTATTTTTTTAGATATTGAGTTATTACATAGTTTGCGTGTCATTCATTTTTATGTTATACATAATGATTGATGTGAGAGTTTACATGAATAGGAAACGAAAATTTAACGATACTTTGGAGCGTAATCACTCTGGAAACGTTGAGTTCTCCGAGAACGCCGATGGTGGAATACAAATGTCTATACCGCTACCTCCAGCTGCGAAACTACAAAAACCTTTGGAACACTTTTATTGTTTAACCACGGGGAGACATGGAGGAAGCCTTTATTTAAAAATCGGAGCTGCAGTTTTTTGTTTGGGCCATCTAATCCACGCCGCTTTAATTTTAGGCTATCAAATAATCTATTTAACATCCGACGATGACATGTTTTACAAATGCTCCACAATCGAGCGTTTAGTACTTGATTTTATTTACCCCGCCTATTCTTTTACCCTTCTCTTTTTCATTTTTAAATACTCCAACGTTATTATTAACAGAAACATACCGTTGGCAAGGATGGGATTTATGCATTGTATAGGGTCGAGTTTATGTTTATGGATTCATACGATTATACGAGAAACATTCGATTACCTCGCGTTTTACGAAGGTTGGAATCCCAGAGATGAAAGACAATTAGAGACTCATGGCCGATACGGGAAATATGGAGTACCTAAAGAAAACGCTTCAAATCTTACTCAAACCGATAACAGATTTAACATACAAGTTCGAATATTTACTGGTGTTTGTGAAGCTGATGAAGGAATGGCGATTATTTATCAAAATTTTTCTCCATATCTTTATCCATTTTCAGTTGAATTTAACATCTTAGTAGGTAAGTAAAAAAATTTAAATTTAATTGAAATGATGAGATTATCGTATTTTTTAAGTTGGAATTTTGTATATCGTTTGGGATTCGATTGCAACATGCAAACAAAGCTTTGAACATAACGATGAAGCTGCAGCGATTGCTAGGGATTGCGATTCTAATTTTGGGGAGGATGCCCCGGTACAAGAAAGCAACTTAACGATACACACCGACTGTCATTCATCAAATAAAGGAATTTTTGCAGGAATTATTTTGCTTATTGTCACGATCGTGGCGATTATTTTGTTCTTTGTCGCCATAAATGACGAGTAATTAATCGATGAAACCCTCTTTTTATTTTCAAACATACATTTTTAGGCGGTTCCAAGAAACTGGGTTAACCGTAAGTTTAGCAACGGATGTTGTGATCCTTCTCGTTATGTTAGGAGCTACAATTTGGTTATATTTCTACGTCGTAAAACTGGATAGAAATCACCATCATATTTCAATGTTAGACGATGTCCTTTTATATATTTGTATACCCATGTTTTTGCTTAATCTAATCTTTGGAATGGTCCCCGCTGTTTATTACGGCAACGGTTTAAGCATAGCCCATCTTTTCATCATGGTAAAATAAAATTAAATGTATAACTATAATTTTTATCTCGCATAATTTTAGATGATTCAAGTAATCATCCAAACAACATTGATCGTCGATGGAATAAGAAGATGTAGCAACTGCAGGGAAACGAGAAAAACCAAACCAGGCCGAGAATTAGTAACATTCCTAATAATAGCAAACGTAGCAATGTGGATCATGCATACATTCCAAGTGACATCTCACGACTTACACGACGACCGCTACGCTTTTTATGGAAAAGTGTTATGGACCATACTCGGACACGTTTGGCTCCCACTCATGATGTTTTATCGATTTCACGCATCAGCTGGATTAGTCGATATGTGGAAATACGGATACGAAAAAGCTAGTCATTAAGTTCTATTAAAATAAGAAAAAAAATAAATGATAAATTAAAATTTCACCGGTTGTTTTAAAATTGGTTAAATCATCCATGAAAATTCAAAACACTTGTCTATTTTGTCACGTAAACTCAATTAATACCGTGAGCAAATTGAGTTTTTGCCTCGCCATTAGCGTACCGATATTGTTTGGGGAAAAAATTCTCCCCCGGTATACATCACAACTAAATCAATCAACGTGGTCGCATCGAAATAGCCCCGATGGCGTGCTCTCGAAACTTACCCCCCACACGACCTCGAAGTAACCAAATTATTATTTTAATGCACCATGCGGCGGCACTGTTAACAAAATAATGTTGTTATACAGGGTGGAGACCTTAATTAGATTCTCTTATATCATGTTAAACTAAAAGGGAAGTCAATCATTAGCTTTTACATATACATCAGCAAAATATTAATTGTTTCGTTTGAAGTAATTCAATCGAGTCATGACGATCAATAAAGTCACTCGAATCAAATTAATTATGAAATTCTTAACATATTAATTAACGACGAAGAAAAAAAGCGATGAAATATTCACGTTGACATTCGTGCTAACAATGGTGTCAAGTAAAATGTCAAAATTCATTGGTAAAGTAGATACCAAAACCATTACAAGCGCCATCTATGTAATTAAATCTAAATTAATTATGACGTTATTCACTCGTAAGCGTAATAAATGCCAAAACAAAAATATGATTGTAACCACCATTGTAAAACCATAATAGTATATTAAAAAACAAATTTCGTAAGACACGCTTGAAATTCACGAATTCAAGTTGATTTTTAATGAATGAGTGTTTTAAGTCTTATGAAACGTGTTTTTTATGTTATTTTTTGTAATTCGCGTTTTTATCCTTTTTTTTTAACAAAATTAAAATAAATTTTGACAATGTAGGGAAATAGGTATGTAGCAGTTGGTAACACCGTAACACTTGAAAATAGAAATTTGAATTGACAATTAGAAACTGTCAAAACACAAAATGTATTCACCTGACAAAAATGTTTCATGTACACCTCCCAAAATAAGAGAAATTGCTCAGAGTTCAATGTCCTCATCATTGTGGACCTTGTATTCGATGCTAAGAACGTGTTTAAACATCCATAGACAAACATTGTCACATTGACAACTAGAAAAATTAATGACCCAATGTCACCAACATGAACTGGTTCCATAAAATGTTACTAAAATCTCATTACAGCATCGGATGCTGTCGAATTACCGTCGCGAATTACAAAAAATTAATTATGAAATTCTTAACATATTAATTAACGACGAAGAAAAAAAGCGATGAAATATTCACGTTGACATTCGTGCTAACAATGTCAAGTAAAATTTTAAAATTCATTGGTAAAGTAGATACCAAAACCATTACAAGCGCCATCTATGTAATTAAATCTAAATTAATTATGACGTTATTCACTCGTAAGCGTAATAAATGCCAAAACAAAAATATGATTGTAACCAGCATTGTAAAACCATAAATGCTTTTAACATTTTACACGATATTGGTTCTTTCTAATCTAAAAAAAGGAATTAACGGATTCGGGTGAAAGGACACACGCTCGGACAACTCACACACGAATGACGAAATACAATCGTGGTGCAATCGTTCGGGCGTGATGTCCCTTCGGTTGGCCCCTTTTGTTCGTGAACGTTAACGACGACGAAGAGAGGATGCTCCCCGCGGTTATGTCCATATGTACAACCAAAAGTGCGCCGCGAGATAGAGAGGCGTCGGCGGTGGTAACCTTTGTCCATCATTCCAACCGGAGTTATTATTGCGCGCGCTATTTTCATCCAAAATGATCAACTTGAATCGGTCGAATTGGCGCATTTTTACGTTTACTTTTTTATTTCTCAATTCGAGCTGAATTCAAATGAAATGAAATGAACTGACCGACGGCGACTTGGAGTCAATGGAGCTCGGCAAATCCTATTAACTAACTCTTTATTTCCGAATTGGAATCCAATCTTTTTCAATAACGCTCGATTGAGATCGAGATAAAACCGATAGAACCGAAAATCTATCTATTAGACATTAATTAATTTGGAATTTTAGAGGGAAATCTATTTTAAACTTTTTGGTAAAAATGGTTTTAAACCAATTTTTAAATAAATGTACACATAATGGATGCAGGATTTACGGTTGACCAATATAGAAGGCGTGACACAAGAGTAATGTATTAACTTCCGGATGTTCATGATTGCCGAACAAATTCGAATTGAAATTTAGATTCAGTAGTGTTCTGTGCGTTGTACTTAAAGGTCTAATCTAATATAAAAAAAGGTTGATGTTAGAAGAAATAAAGAGAAAACGTAAGTTTATTATTAGACATCTTAGAGAACCCTTTAGAAATCGAAAGGTTCTTTTACAACTTAATTGATCTTTCAATTCAACTTGATTTCGTTTTCCGCACTCGAGTTTGACGTACATCAACGTTTTCTTAATTGTGTTTCTCGTCGTATAGTTTTTGGACTTTAAATTGAAATTAAATGTGGATTTCGTTGGTCAAACGTCCTACTACTTGCAATTTGTATGCAAATTTTGTTCTAATCGCCAAGGGTGTTGCTTTAACCTCTCCGTTTTATTTAATTAGGATCTTTTCTGTATGGAAAACAACGCGCCGCAGGCGTTGGAAGATCCGTTCTGATTTAAAGTTAATCATCCGACGTAGTTCTTTAAGTTCTACGGCTCGTCTCCGGGGGTCTATTTTGTTGGAAAAGATCGGGCCGTTAGTACTTTAGGGTTCAGATTGCCGTGGAGAGGAGGCACTTAAAAAAGAGCCACCACCGTGAAATTTATCGTACCTTGGACGCGCGGCGCAAATGAAGAAGCCTTCGTCGACGGCGACGACGACGTCGAAGGCGATATTGGCGCGGCCAATTTTTGTTATTGATGGCCTGTCTGCCAAGAATTTCAAACGAATAACCGTATCTTCACAAAAAAAAAGAATTAACACAAAATTCAATTTTAAATTAATACAAAATATTCAATGTGTGATCCCTTTAGTGTTTAGGGTATAGAAACAAACACATAGTTGAGAGAAGCTTTGTATTGAAACATTGGACCGAACACGTTCTATCGGTAGGGATGCAGAGAACGTAATAATAACGTGGAGGACGACAACGAGACCAGAGATTACATTGTAATCGACGTGGTTCGTGTCGTACACACGACGACGACGACGGTTTCAACGCCCGAAAGCCGCCAATTTACGCGGCTAGATCAATTCGAGCTGTCGCCTAACCAACGACGGCCACGTTATGACTTTATCTTAGGCCTTTTCCCCATAGATAACTTCTTCCGACACGAAGGGATGTTGGATACATCCGACGTTCGTTTCGCATTGTTTATTATTGTACGTATCAAGTCGAAATATAACAAAAAATCCTTACTAAAATAATTTTTTTTTTAATATTAACAGGATGGTTAATATGCATATTAAGATTGCACAGATGGACGAGTACTTATCCCCAATTTAACTAATATGGGCTATGTGTATATATTCGTATATTCTCGAAGGGTAAAAGGGATTAGTTCGCGCATAGAAATTTCGGTTCGTCACGTTAAACCAGAACCCGAAATGATGATCAAGGAGACGACGATTTTCCGGTCCGTAGAGGACGTATCGAAAAGCGACCCGTTTATTTATAGCTAACGCTCTGCAGATCACACACACGTGGGGGCGCAGCACCTTTCTCTGACCGACGACGGATAAGCAGAGCGCCTCTCCGATGATGATGAGATTTCATAGACGAACTGTTGCGCTTTTCCCCTTTTATGCACACGTCCTTTTGTCGTCGTTAAAATTAAGTCCGTTAGAACGGAAATGTTTTGCTTATGCCATAAAAAAAAAATAAATTAAAAAAAATTGGCACAAAAATATTCGATTTTCATTTTGATATCTAGCAGGAATTGACCGCGTACCAGGTCCGGCTTCGTACTCTAATTGGACTCCCTTGAAATACCATCCGGCATACATACAAATGCTGGACAAGCGCAAGTAACGATCCCGAAATTGGGCAATGTAAAAGCAATACGGATAACCTCTAAAGGCGTTCTAAAATCTCAAAGAATAGAAAATCCCCAATTTTCATTTTTATCGTTAGATATTACAAACGCTTTCCTACGTGCTTTCATTACACAACCCCTTACGATATTAATATTATTATTGTCACTCTGGAATTGTTAAAATTTGGCAGATCAAAATGACGTGACGAATGTTTCTTCTGAAAAGGGGGACGGAAAAGGGGGAAACTTTTGTGGATAGACGCGAAATCTGAACCCGAACCGCGTGATAAATGACGCGAACCTCCTTGGGCGCAAGTTCTAACGAGCAGACCGACCGCTGAGCGCCCCACGGATCGCGTTTGTATCGCTCCACATCTTCTTTTCCACAACGGGAACCATCCCATTCCCCTCATCCGGTTAAAACGTTTCCCGTTAATGGTGATTGCCGTAGATTCACCTCAAATTCGTCTGAAATTTGCCTTAAATTCGCCTCCAACAAACGATTATTCAAAATCTTATATCTAACACCATCGAGTATAATTCATTACTTTCTTTTCAGAAAAAAGTAAAAAAGTTTCGTTAAATAAATTTTTGTTTCTTGAAAAGTAGGGGTACTTTATAGAGATAGTAGTGGGAGCTATGTTAAAAGGGGTAGAAGAGTATCGAATGAGGGAGAAGAGGGGGGTTAAAAGTCGGTTTTGAGCTCGGACAGGCGCCGTGTCCTGGGGCGTCTCAACGTACCGTGAGCGCCGAGACGCCCGATCAGTTTCGACCCAGACAACGCGACGTCAACCACGTTTTACGAAAGACTTGAAATTGTCGCGTAATTTCATCAAGTCTTCGTCATCATTCCCCGATCATCATCCAGTTTCACATCAAGACAACAACGCTCCAATATCACGATAAAGAAGAGAACTTGGTAAGCAACAAATTTAATTGAATTTATCATTTTCCCGGCGAC